AAATAGCCTTGGCAAACGCCGCATTGGTTGCGTACACCGCTGCCGCATGGACCAAGTTGGCGGTTTGCGTGATCGACGTACCACCGTCTTCGACAACGAGACCCGTGTTAGAAATGGTTGCTCCGCCTGTCGCGACTTGAAGCCCTCCTTTGATGACAGCACCACCCGCGTCGACGAGAAGCCCACCGTTGGAAATCGTGGCGCCACCCATGACGACCTCAAAGCCTCCAACCCATACGGTGGTGCGACCAGAGCCGCCGATGGAAAAGAGTTGGACACTGTTCGCTTGGGCTTGCAGAAGGTAAAGCCTGTGTTGGCGGCGCGGCTTGTCTGAATCATTGCCACGGTACCACCAAACGAGCCACTGGTGGAGGACACTGTCAACGCGGCTGCCGATGCATCTTGGTTGGTCACACTGGCGCCGCCGTTGCTGATGGTTGTGCGCCCAGACGACTCGACAGCAAACACGACCGTGCTACTGGCCGTGCATGTGAGTAAGAAGTAGTCCGCCGCGGGGTAAGCTGACGCCGTTGTCGCCAAAACGGACAGCACCGTGCCTGTGAACGCGGCGTTCGTGTTTCGAACCGTCGTCGTCGTCGCCGACGTTGTCGTGTCGGTGATCGTGGCGCCCCCCGAGAGCACCTCGAAACCACCAAGACGGACAGTAGTCCGGCCGTCGCCACGCACATCAAACACCGCCGTCGACAGCCCAGACGTGGAGGCAGCAATCAAGTTGAACGCACTGGAGCCCGCGCGAGTGGCTTGGAGCTGCAGCACATCGCTCGCGTACGAAGCGTGTCCTGCGACGAGACCAAGGACGGCAGCACTTTGAACCGAGGCAGACACCGGTCGCGCCGCCGTCGACGACTCGGAGACCGCCCAAAAAAGATCGTCACTCCCGATTGGACAAACAGAGTGCCCGATTGGATCCGGACGTTGCCGGCGCTCCAGTATGTGTGGCCCGCGCCGTCCATATAGAAGAGCGTAACCGCGCCCGCTTCGATCCGAATCATCTGAAAGTCCGTCGCGCTTCCTTTGATGGTATGGATGCGCAGCGCTGTGCCTCGGTACGTCGGCCCCGTTGGCTCGATGAGGAACCCGTCGTGCTCGTCCAGATTGTCGGGGATGTTACTAGGCTGGTGGCAGTCGATCGCCTTGTAGTCCATAAAGCACGTGCAGAGACCGTGGCAAAGTTGCAAATGCCGCGGTTCGAGCAAAACGCGTATTCTAATGGTCGCGACTAAAACCCAATCGACAAAGAGAAACAACGAGTGTATACCGACGAGGTTGGCCGTGTTGCCGTCGACAAGGCTGCACGACGGCGTGTTGCTGCTCGTGACACCGAGCACATTGCAGCTGAATTGACCGAGCGCCGGGTTTCCGTTGTGCGTAAACACGTTGTTTTCCACCGGCGTCATTGGCCACGACGTGAACGAAATCGTATACGACGCACCTACCCACAAGAGAGTTTTGGAATGGATTTCGCTGGTATATGCAGTCGATCGTACCGCCCGTTGTGCCGTCGATAGGGCCTTGCACGCATGTCGCACTCCCGACGTTGGTAAGGCTGGTGATCGCCGCCGCGCAAATTGCATCCGAGTTGGCGTTGCCATTCGCCGGCATCGTCACAGAGCGCCCGTTGAACGTGAACGTCACGGTACCCGCGAGCGCCGACCCTGCACCGGCGATGCTCAGCACGACACTCTGGTACGTCTGGCCTGTCGTGAGCGGGTCGTCGTTCTTGGGGGCACAGGCCTAACCCGATGGCGATGATGACGATGGCGCTCTACGGTAATATGCACGTACGCAGCGAGCAGTCGGGCCCCTGGTATCCGTAGTCGCAGAAGCACGCCATCATCGAGTTGGCTTCCCAGTTGGTATACGTTGGGCCTGACCCAGTACCAATGTCTCGGCCGTACGCGAGTGCCATCATGGCCGTCGATTGGCACATGCCATGGCCCGAGCACGAGTTCAAGCACACACCTACGCAGCTTGCAAGCGTCGACTACGAATTGAGTGTCGTACTTCGCTGGCACGCGTCCCCGGCGAACCCGTCGGCGCACGTGCACACGCCCTTGATGTAGTCGCACGTCCCACGGTTCGAACACTCCATCATCGCGTGGGCCGTGTTGGTCGCCGACGCCTGTCGGACCAGGCGATGCCTTCGGCAGGCGCGGCTCGAGCAGTCGGCGCCCATCCAATTGGTAAAGCACGTGCATTTGCTAGCAGAACATGGACACACATGAGCCCACGTATCGCTCCTGGTAGAGTACTTGGCAGCGCCGCAAGTGCCATGCCCCGAGCACAAGTTGGCGCAGGTGCCATCGGCGGTGTCCCAGGCACCGAGGCTGAGCGCGACAAGGAGGTGGACGAAGCGCATGTATGCTCGGCGATCGGAATCGAAACGTCGTTTGAAGCGCGATCTTGCACCGATGTGTGGTGACAAGCACGTTAAACATAGACGTTAAATGGGTCGTGCAACGGCCGTTTCGGTCTTGTTCAACGTCTGGCGAGTCTGGAAATATCGCGTCATTCGCGGGCGAATGTACTGTAAGTGTGTCAGTCTTTGATTGTTTGGACACGGCTCGAGAGACAAGAGAAGGAAGGAAACAGGGGCAACCACTGCAAAACAATGCACTCGTTGGAAGTTGGGAGTGGCACCCCCAGCTCTACGCATTCTAGATTGCATGAAGTGATATATATTTGATGTGTTCGGATGTGGCTGGTCGCGATTTACAATTTTACTGCGTTTTCATTGGACGCGATTCATAATTTTGTGAGACATTGTCGAAGCCACACATTATGTGTGGCGAGTGAGTGGGCCGTGAATAGGTTTGACCCACTCAGAGTACACTCACTCTGAGTGAGTGCCGATTCACTCAGCGGGTGCCTGAGTTAGTGCGTGTGAGTGGGTTGAGTTAGGGTCAAGTCACGGTAAAAAAATTGATCGCCCCAACTTTTTCAGCCAATCAGAGGCCGTTCCGCTCGCCCCAAAAACGGAAAAGCTGGGAGACCTCAAAGAGGTCTCCCAAGGTCTCCCAGCCCTTCTGGAGCGCTCCAGGTCGAAAAGAGCAGTCACAGTAAACTTCATGCATGAAATTGATTGGCTAAAATTAATTTTGGTGTCTTGGTCGTTGTCGTCCACACAATCCGTTTGCTTTCATGATGGTCCATGCGTACGGGTCCGTGATCTTAGCCGTCGCGACGGTCGTCGCGCAGGTCGCGACGCTTGATGGCCGGCAAGCTCCTGCCGCCAAGGTGCACCGTGCACCATCCACGAGCTGGCCAATAGTATTGGCAGGACCAACTTCAACAGCAAACAGCGAGCCAATAGAAATTTATTACGTGGCAACCAATAGGGCTATCGAAAACTGCATATTTTGGCCAATGAAACATGCTCCCGCCTGCTCCAACCCGCTCTCGTCCAGAGTGATTGACCCGGTCGTGAGAATTAAATCGACCAATGAGCGCCTTCTATTTTGATGACGCAATCACAAGACTGGAGCGCCCCAAGTTTTTTTGGGGTGAGTGAAACTAGGTGTGCCCACGCCCTGGCGGTCCTTGGGGCGAGCAAAAAAATTTACCGTGACTTGACCCTTAGTGTGTGTTGGCCCCACTTCGATCCCCGGCAAAGGGTCCTTTTTCGCACATACTCTGCGGAACGTCCTGCTTCCACTTGTCGTGGCAACGCATGGCTGGGGGAAAGGAAGGAAATACCAAAGCACAGGAGGAACCATCGCCGTCTCATGCCTCGAATCGACACCGCTACGACCGCCCCGACGCCTATTGCAATTACCGGCAAGTCGTCGTGGGATTGGAAGCATTTTGGTAAGCGAGGAAGGCGCTTAGTCCATCGTCGTGTGCCGCAAGTCGAAGCTACCACTCCGCGATTGTCGCGTCGCACTTCACGCGTCGAACTCATAGAATGCGATCCGCCACATGAAGCTTTCTCGACTTCCTCGAGCGCGTTCAATGCTGTGACCTACCCGACAACTCGAATGAGAAGGCTGCTCACAGAAACTGGGTGCATCTCTCGAAGATTTTTGACGTCAACCTCCGGTGGCGTAAAAACGGCTGCCACCATCGACTCGTCGAGCGCATTGCAGCTCGTGAGCTCGCGTGTCCGGACTCGAACGCCCTCCAGGAGCGCGTCTTCTCGCTCTGCAAGCTGATTGACTCGCCGTTGCGACAAAAACTCGGCAACGCCAAGTTCGAGATGCTTTCTGGGCTGGCATCCAACAAGAAGTTCATCCGCATGTGTTCCCCTCGCCGAAACCCTCGGGTCGACGACGTCCACGTCGCAAGCCACTGCTACGCTCATCAACTTCTTCGACCTCGACGCCAGCAGACTGAGTCGGCTATCGCCATTGCTGATACGCTTCGTTCCGCGGCGTTGGCCCCCGCCGAGAACACGCCATCGAAGAAGCGCAAGATTTGTACTGCTGAATAGGCATGAGTTAACTCTAAGTAGCTGAGTGCACTCACTATTGTCGTTTGCGAGTTGTGAGTGAGTGCGTACTCACTCACAACGGAAATGGGCCCCACTCGCCATCCCTGCACACATAAGATCATGAAACAGGAAGCGCCGACGCGCAAGGCTTGAGCCAGAGCGAATCGGCCAGACCCAAAGACTCGGGTCTTGACGCCGAATGGAGTCCCGGCCTACCTCGGGTGTGGCTTCAGTCGGCGGCACCGAATGCACTGCGAGTACGCGACGCGCTATCGCCGTCGCCTAGGTCGCATAGCGCCACGAGGCTTGCGACCGAGGCCACCCACGGTGATTGGCGATGCGAACGACGATGCCGACGGCGGACCTCAAAGACGCCACCAGCTTCACGCGTCACGCCACAGCAAGTCTCTCGACAACAGGTGCCCGGAGGTGATAAATACACCTTGGAATAATATCGAGCTTCACCTGCGGCACTTACGACGCAGCGCTGCGACTACGGCTACGGCTACGTTCCAGTAAAACCGACAGCGTAATATATACCAGCACTGCTAGTATATTCTTCCCTATCGATGCCTACGGGTGATGTGACACCCATCAACTTTCTACTTGCCGACCAAAATATTGACGTCACCTTGGCGGCCATTTGACTCATGTCATTTTGATCAGCGTACTCTAAGCACAACACGATCATGTGCCCACCATGCTCCGCGTACTTGTTTGTTGAACGCCGACTGCACTATATCCCTTCCACCAATGGGAGGCCTCGATTGTTTGGCCACATTTGTCCCCTTGGCCAATCAGATCGTGCGATTCCAACAAAAGCTCAAGGGTATGGATGGATCGCCTATTCAAGCGGACCTACCACATGGACGATTATATATATATGAACGTGTTTCGCGTTATCTTCCTTACAAATAGTTCGCATACGTAGAGACTAGCAATCACCACATGGACGATTGCCGTCAAAACGGCTCGTGTCGCTCAACTGTATTTGTACCACAATCTCGTTCGAGAGTTCGAGCAGCCCGATCTTCTTCGGCTTTTCCGGCTCCTCGCACAACAAGAGTGGCTGCGTCTGCACCTTGTCCCGCGGATCGCGCTCTTGTCTCTGTCTACCTAGATCACATCACAAAACCGAGTGTACAGTTAGTTTCTGGGAGGGCGCTGGTAGGAATGTATTGTCGACGGCTCTTGTGTTTAGCTGCATTACAGTAGCAAGATACAGTACTTCATGAACACAATTTACTGCCTCGCGAGTCGCAGTGAGACAGTAAATCGTTTTTCGTGCGGACGCGGGAGTAGTCGTGATAGACCATGCGGTGCGTCCATCGACATGCATGCAGAGGCATCGGATGGACACTTTAAACGCAGTTTTCTTCGCTTCGTCAATGAATATCTCTCGGACGATTATATATGTATATAACCCAAGCTTTTGCGAAACATGGGCGAACACCTCTATAAAGTAATATACATGTACTCTATAAAATGATATCGTAGGCACGCTGAAGCGCGACGGGAAAAGAGGCAATAGGACTTGACAAGTAGCGCGGCGACACAAGAGAAATGGATAATATACAATAGTGTGCATGTTAGTAGTGCTACTCTCACTTGGGCTTCAGCATAATGTCGTAAAACGTAATGTAGCTCATCTCATTGACACGACCATTCGTCAGGTGTCATAAATTGCATCATGGTCTTCGAAGCGTTCCAACTTTTCGACCGTAGCCCTTGTCAAACGCTAACACCAATACTAGTAGTCAATGAGGTGAAGAAAGTCCTTTTGGACTGCATGGATGTGTACGTACAGCGTGGTGCAGAGATCTTGCGGCATGTCAACCTTGGCTTCTCTGTGAAGGTACACAAGAGCGCTCGACGTGTTGCCAACATGCGACGCCGATATACGTTGACGGGGTACGAGCGACACACCGCGCTTGTCGCACTTGATGGACATGAACCACAAGTAGGCTCGAGCGACGTCTGCCGGAAGCGGCAAAGTGACGCTATAGTTACTGACGAGCGTTGCATGGTGCACCTTGAGCCACTACACGAGACGCTTGTTCAAGGCATCGTAGCGATTCACGGTGCTCTTGACACGGCAACCAGCAATGATGCCGGCGCCCGTCTCGTCGCCGTCGGAATCTGCCGCGTCTCGCGGAGCGGTACAATCATCCTTACAATAGAGGCTTGTTCAGTTGTAATACGACAACACGGACATACGCGTACCTCGAATAATGCTACCTTCGAGGCGGCCTTCTG